ACTTCAAAAAGACGTTGATACATTATTGCTTTGGTTTGCTGTTAACATGATTTCTGTGAATGTTCCTAATAAGCTTGTCTGTTTCCGTAATCCGCATAAACGTGTTCAGTTGTCTCCATGTATTCTCCTTCATACAGCTCATTGTCATAATTGCAACTGTTTGCCTCTGCCGTATAGCAGGTCTGTTAAATACCTAGGCATCTATTTCGACGAGCACATGTTGTGGAATGAACAAATAGATTACATAATAAAACGTTTGCGTGTAATATCTGCCAACATGTATAAATTAAAATTTGTCAGCTCTTTAAGAATAAGATTGTTAGTTTTCAGATCACTAGTAGAATCGACGTTGCGTTACGGTATCACTGTATATGGTCATTGTTCTCGTTCTAAAATGACTGCGATAAATCGGGTATTAAAACAGATTGTGAACCATATCACCTATGGAACTGGGTACGAAACATTAGAAATGGAGGAAAAGGTGGCAAAGCTGGGTATTTTATTTTTTGAAAAATTTCATATCTTTGCTACAATCACGCAAAACTTTTTTAATAAGACTTTTAAGAATAAAGTGGCCAAAACCAGAGTCTTAAGACATACAGAAAGATATGTTGTCCCGAAAGTATACACCCACTACGGAAAAAGAACAAGAAATCATTATATTCCAACATTATTTAAAAGACTTCCTCAATTTTTAATAGCTATGACATCCTTAAAAAAAATAAAATTCAAACTTAAAACCTGGTGTCATTCTTTAATGAATTAATTGTAATATGTCTAACTGCATAACTTCTAAGTGCCTTTTTTCTGTTGTGCAATTTGATTCCGATTTCCTCATGTCGATGCGTTCTGTCGTTTGCCTGGCCCCACATACAAGCACACCCCTGCTTTTGTGGGCCAGATCACTGTTTTTGTATATATTTCCTGTGAATAAATATTACTACTACTATAACTATGAAGAAAAATCAAAACACAAAACTTTCTTGCACCTTCAACTCGTGAGATAACGTTAAGAACCTTCAAATCCAGAATCCGGGGCTTTTGCTATGAACATATGCTCGGGTTTCACCAACTCCCCAGCGAACAAAACAGAACGCAATCCGCAACCCGCGGAAGCGCACCGCGGCGCGCGCATCACTTACTGCTAAATTTTTTTTACTGCATATTACCCCAACATAAACGTCACAAATCACTTGAAGCGCGACTCTATGTGCATACTGCAGCGCGTCTCTGAAAGTAAGCTGACTGAGTTTGCCAACCGCTCATTTGTCTCTTTAGACTTAGGGTAGGTGGCGCAAGCTACAGCCCGTTACAAAAGGTATAGCCATTAACAACCATCCATCCATTTATCGCTTGGCCTCATGCTGTTGGCGAGAGTAAACATCGGCCGGGGAGCGCGCGATACCCACGAGCTAGGACGACGAGAGTATGTCCGAGCGTGGCAAAATCGAGGTATTCTGTAATGATGGACCGAATCTGCTGAACTTCATTCGGCAGAGTTCGGCACACGCCAAACTTTTGAAGTTCGGCAAAGATTCGGCGAAAATTCGGCAAACATCTGCGCACGCACGAAAACGCGATGGGGCCATGGATTGCAAATGGACACCGTGCGGTTGTGCGGTTACCATCGTACATGTAGCGGTTGCATCACTACACTGTACGATGTTACACTGTAGCGTAACACTTGAACACAGTTACAGTTTTACGCTGTAACGGTGTTACTGTAACACCGTTACAGTAACACTGGTTACATCGCACCTCCATGTAACCAGCGGTTACGTCGAGGTACGGAGTAGACGACACGGTAACTTTGTGTGTGTCAGCCTTTCTGAGGGCGGTTCTTTTTAATATGTTCTGCCTCAAGAATAAAAGATGGACCAGAAATGGACGCAAAAATGACGCAGTCAGTGATAAATCATGCGGTACATTCGGGATAACGTGATTTTCACTTGATCTTTCCAGTGATGCAACGTGGTAGTAGCAACATTGACTGACCAGTACTTTAAAGCACTCCTCGCCATCCTAGCAATCCTGTTTTCGGCTCACAAGTAGTTTGTGACAAATGAAAAATAATATTGCTTTCAATTAGCGTTATTTCGTGGTCTTCATCTATCCGCATAAAACTAAACACAAAACTATTATGCTCAACGTTGCACATCCGACATTACTAACTCTTACCATCTTCCTAAACGTCTGGTGTGTCCTAACATCAAAAACCGGCATTGTAACAGTTAAAAACAAGATGTTGCAAATATGGGACACACACTTTCATGCAAAGCTGGCGTCAAGTGACTCAAATCGAGGAACATGCATATTTACAATATTATTGTTGTCTCTTCTGGTAAATGCTCAACAGCCGTTTGGATTTATTTTTGTGCACGAAACAGTGACTCGCAAAAGAAATGTAAAACACAGTGTTACTGCCTTTTTTTTAACAACATACACTTGCAGGCTTGCGCTGATGAGGCCTCAAAACCGAAACTCCCGTATTGTGACTGCGCCTGCTACTACCCGACCCCGTTGTCACACCACGTCTGCAAAAAGTCACTTCGAAATTACCAATAAACATACAAAAATAACACTGATACAATATTCTTGTAGAATGTCACCTTATTTGGTAAAAATTGCGTCAATATCGATTTAAAAAAAAAAAACCTAGAAACTTTTTATGCGCGAAAAAAATGTATAGTATCAACTTTTAGGTCTGGTAACAATATTTTTTTCCGAATGTTTGCCGAATTTTCAGAAAAGTTCGTCAAAACTTCAGCTCTGCCAAACCCCTAGATTCGGCGCCGAATTTTCGATTCGGCTGAAGTTTGGTTCATTAGTCATTACTAGTATTTAGTAAGTTTCGCTTGCCACTGGTTTGAGGCGTTTACTGAAGGCTGGAGGCATTTATTGCTAGTTCGTGTGTGAGCTCGTGCCACTGACGGATTTATGACCGCATGATCACGTTTGCTCCGCATAGTAAAACAAAGGAAGTGTTTAAAAGTTGTTGAGCTTGGTTTGGGGGCTTCAAGATTGGGCTATTTGCCAACACTTCATACTGGAAATTATCGCATCGTGAATAAGTCTGCTTAAGGAGGCATGCATCGTGGTCCATTTCTAATGCGCGTGTCTGAAAATATTTAGCCATGTGTGCACTGCTGCGCGGGAGATCGCTTGATGGGAGCACTCTCGCTAATGAATTTTAGAGGGCTCGTTTATGTTTCGTGTATGCTCGTGCGCTCAGCTGGTCGTACCAGCTTATCGAGCCGGAATTTAGTGAAAAAATGACGTTTCGGGAGTTTTCGTAAATCGTTTCAGACTTCCCACATCGAACTTTGCGATTCACTGATCTGGAACAACTTTGTGGAGAAAAAAACTTTTGGCGTATGCGTAGTCGCCACGTCTGTTTTGCGGAGAGCTCGGATCCCCGCTTCCTCGAGCAACCTCCTTGCCCCGCGTCTTGCCCCGCGAGTGCAGCTTGCGGCTAGCGCCGTTATCTAGTGTCGCACAGGGAAGTGTGCTCGCTGCGTTGGTCGGTTGGCGGGCTGTTCCAGAAACCGCACTATAACCGGTATTTCCCTTTGCGCGCCTGCATTTTAAGCGGTATGTAAATACATGAAGTTCTATGGGAGGCGAACCGGTGGTTTAAAAAAGCCGCGTTATACCCGGTCCTGCACTATAAGCGGTTACGTTTTAAGTGGTCTATACTGTATCAGGTTCATTTTTATTTTGTTTACAAAACGAATGATAGAAGGTTTTATGGAAGCATGATTTCTTTTTCTGTCTTTAAAAATGTTGGGCGATTTCTGTGTAAACTTATGCTGACCTCCTGAAAACGAGGTGTTTAGAATTTAGCTGTACAAGTTCCTCATCCATAGTAGTCTTCCAGAACTTTATAATTTTCCTTGTACGTGAGCAAGAAGATAGCGTCTTCTACTGCAACATTTGCTTTTTTGTTGTAGGGTGCAAGGTCATTCTGTGATAGTTTTCATTACGTATTTGCAGACAGCATTCTTTATGTCATGGAATGGCAGACATTGTATCTTTCGTGTCTCTTAGGGTTCAATAAATGTTCAATTTAACACATTCTAATTGAGGTCATAGTGAGCTTCACTTACTGAAATACTGTTGCGGTTCAGTCAAGGGCTAGACAACCACCTCTAACATGCTTCCAATTAGTAAACAGATGCGCATAAGGAGACAAGTGATAAGCAAAGCATATTTCCTGCAATCCTCTGAGACAAAACATGTCACTTGATCTCCAAACAGGAAAGCTCCACATCCTTAGGTTGTGGCAGGTCATGATGTTCACAATGGGTCAGCCGTACAGTACGATGCTTGGGGCCACTGCTTGCTCACTTAGAGTTCGAGAAAGGGGGTGCCCTAGCACTACCCAGTTGCCCTCAGGGTTATGTGGCTTGCAAGGAGCCCTTTTGTATTACTTCATGAAGTAAGTTGTGTACAGTGTGACTGATCATTTCCATATCACGTGCCTCGTATCTGGTAATGTGGCAATCCCCCTAAGTGAAAAAAGTGTACATGTGTTCAAATCATAAGCTGTAAATCATATAATAATATAAGAATATGCAATACCTTATATGATTTTGCACAATTTGCAAGTTCTGGTATGTGTATTGAACACATTCCTATAAAATTTTCACTGGGGCCTATACTTCATTTCACCTTTCGAACGAGCGCGGCGGACGCTACCAGCCAATCCAGCGTCGAGAGCATCATGTGACCTAGAACTCCATATAACCAAAACGTTGCCGGATACTCTCCCGGTGCTGGATTGGCTGGGGTGGCCCAGCATCCACTGGGCCACCCCAGTGGGCACCCATTCTATGTCAAGCACCCATTGCCAAGGGTGTTTGGCAAGCACCCATTATGAAGGGTGCTTGCCTGAACACCCTAAGTGTTTTAGCCCTGGGACAAACTGATTTACATTTTCAAGCGTGTAAAAACTTTTACTGTGTGAGTAACGCATTGAGCCAGCTCCATCAACGTCGTCAGATGTGAGCAGCCTGTGCAAAGCACACGAGTGTGCGGCCAACCCGGAGATGCTGTGGATCCTGAAAATGGTAAGATCGCACTGTTTTTACAACTCATCATCACATACAGGGGAATCGTTCAAGAAAAAGTTCCCGGATAGCGAAATCGCTTAGGCATTTTCCTGCAGTGAAAAGAAATCTGTACGCCCCATGGTCTGAGACCATTCTTTCTCTTGTGCCTACAACGTGAATTAGAGCAGTCTGATGGTTACACCATTCTGTTTGACAAGTCTTTGAACGACTACACGCAGAGAAAACAAAAGGACATATATTTGCACTACTGGAGCACAATGCCCGAGCGTGTAACTAGGAGATATTACATGTCGGTGTTCATGGGACATTCGACAGCCGAAGACCTCCAGGAGAAGCTTCTGGGTGCTTTGGCAGATTTGACGCTGGCGAAAGCTGTCCAGCTGTCTATGGATGGCCCCAACGTAAACCTAACGTGTTTAATGGGAATGCAGGAATACCTGCAGCAGAATTATCAAGTTCAGTGTTTGGACCTGGGCAGTTGCAGACTGCATACAATATGTAACACTTACAGGGTGGGTCTAGTTGCCAGCAAGTGAAGCCCAGAGAGCCTTCTTTCAAGCCTCCATGCCATTTTTCATGATGCGCCAGTGCGAGGTGAAGACTTCTCTACAGTGACAGGCCAAATGACACTTCCTCTCAACTTTCTTGCTCACCTCTGGGTAGGAACTGTTTGATCGAACGTGCCACTGCACTCTGGGGTGATATAAAAAGGTATGTGGAATGTGCAAAAAAGAAAGAGGGGAAGTTGCCAAAGTGTGCTTTATTCACACAGCTCAGTGAATTTTGCCAAAACCCAATGCTGTTGGTCAAACTGAAGTTTGCTCTTGGCATCACGATGATTGTGAAACCATTTCTCATGGAATACCAACTGGAAAAACCACTGACGTTCCTTTTGAAAAAAAAGATCTCGAATGTCCCGTGAGGAAACTTCTCGCGAGATTCATGATGTGCTCGGTGCTGTCTGCTTCCACAGGAATTGTAGGCATGCTCAAAATGGACCTTGTAGACCTAAATAACCATGTATCCTCAGAGATTAGTTTACATTGGGCATGCTGCTGAACAAGTACTTAAAGCCGGGAGGGTGAGCGCCAAAGATATGTTTGCTTTTAGGATGGAATCCAAACAGTTCCTTATAAGTACAACCAAGAGAATTCTGAAAAAGAGCCCGCTGACATACCACCTGGTTAGGAGCCTGTCTTCGATCGACCCCCGTCAAATGGCCTCAAAGCCAGATGAGTGCCTTTCATGTTTCAGGAGTCTTAGAAGCAGTCTTTGCAGTTGGACATTTGGGTGAGCATGAGTGTGATTCCGTCCTTGGCAAATACACAGAACTTCTGCAAGAGAACAAAAAACACAACCTGCAGTAGTTTGATACACACTCTTTTAGCCTAGATGAATTCTACCTTAAGCTATTGAAGGTTGACTCATCCTACAAGCACCTGTGGAAAGTTGTCCAACTTCTTCTCGTCTTGAACGGGCAGGCAAGTGTTGTAAGAGGCTTCAGTGTCAACCGTCAGGCCTCTGTCAAAAACGGGAAGGAGATCTCATTTGTGTTGCAGCGAATCATTTGTGATGCAGTAAGCAAGGCTGGAGGGCATCCTAAACATTGGAATAACGAAAGAGTTGTGTAGATCTGTCTCAGCCGCACACAACAGTTATCGGGCTTACTTGGAGGATATAGAAAAAAAACAAGTGATCGAGCAGACAAAGGCGTCAAAGAGAAGCCACACTGAAGAAGGGATACACGGCATCAAGACGAAGGAAAGACTGGAAGCAACGATTGCCGATTGAACAGCCTGTGCCGACAACTAAACTCAGTGGGCAGAAGCCTCAAGCGACATCACCCTGATTGTGAAGTCAAAGAGCTTAAGAAAAACAACAAAAGAAAAGACTTTCGAGCTTGCAGAAATGAATGAAAACCTGAAGGGAAAGCTTCGGGAACTTAATGTTGAACCCACTGTTTGAAAATGGGCCCCTTTTTTTGTGTGTGTGTGTGCCATACGTCTAGATTGTGAGGTGAACCAGTTTAAACAAACCGAAAAAGGGATGTTGAAAACTGCAAACAATGCAATGAAACCTGCATTAAAAAAAAATGAGCTGAGAAAGAAGCTGCGGAGACTTTTTTACTTAGCTATTCATTGTGAAAAATAAGCTTCATTTTGCTAGTGTGCAGTAAAAGATGTGCTTCCATACTGTGAAAGATGGTGTTGTCTTCTACGATCTCAAAAAGTGTTGTTTCAAGTCTTGAAAATTCTTTGTTAAAGGGACCATGAAGGCAGTTTCGAAGTTTTATTCGACGATTGAAATGGATGTCAGGCACGTTTCAGATACTGTTGACCAAGTTCTAGCGCGAACAGAAGTTTGGGTGCCGCACCAATCGAGCAAACAGGCGCGGTAATAATAGCGCCGGGAACGATGCCCGAGACCCCACCGAGGCGGCGGCAGAAAGGTGAACTAAAGTGCGCCAAAGCGTGACGACAACGGCTCCTCGTCTGGCGATTGGTTCAAACGATGGACGCGCTCTTGGTTTCGATTTCGGTGGTGAGATGTGATGAAAAAAGTTTATTTGGACGTCAAATAATATTTTGAAGTTGTAGTTGGGAATTAATAGGTTTCATACTGTGTATAAAAGCTTAATCTGAAGCGATCCCTCCGTTTGTCACTGGTTGAACGCATCCCGCACTGCTACCTCGGGTGCGTGGACCATGGACAAAAAAAAAAAAAGAAAAAAAAGGTACGAGCGCCGGGGGCGGCGGACTTTTGGCTTTGGTTTCGTGCGTCGTCTCGTGTTCGCTTTGCGAACTGGTGTCTCACCAATCATGCCGCGTTTATGTGCAGTGGTAGGTTGCGCGAAAGGTCGGCTAAAGACATGCGGTCGATCGGGCGACGTTAGTTTGCATAAACTGCCGACCGATGCAGCAATGCGCAGCATTGCTGCATCGGTCGCCAGTCCAGAGTTCTGCTTCCTTAGCAGCATCTCACGTTCAGTCGGCGTGAGGTCGCTGAACGGGAGCTCAAACTTGTTTGCGAGCGCGACGTTGTCGTCCATTTCTTTTAGGTTTTCTTCACAGACTGCCGTGCACTAGAGCAAACCACGGGAACCACACTGAGTGTGCACTAAATCCTACCAATGCCGACAGTGCTCCCTGACGTCACTTCTCTTTCCAGAGGCAAAAAAGGGAAGAAATCTGAATGTTTGTTTCGGTTTCGCAAATTTATTTGCGGGCACAGAAATAAGAGTCACAACGTTCTAGAAACAATTGTGTGGCATGCCAGGACCCCAATGCTTCCGAAAACACCTTCTTTTTAAAAAAAATTAAATTGCCTTCATGGTCCCTTTAAGGCAATGAAAGTTCTTAAAAACCCTTGAATTTCTTTTTTTTTTTTTTGCGCAGTTACTATGAACCATGATTCTGGCAAGCGCTCGGAGAGCAGCCAGCAGAGAGCATGTCACATCCGGCGCAATCGTGACGTCGATTGTCTAAGGACGAGCAAAGCTGCAGCAAGGCAGATGTCCTAGCTGATCCAGCCACCGAAGCGGCCGAAGCACGCTAGTGATCGGGCCACCGCAACTAACGCTAAAGCTGCTTTTATATAAATTTTTATTGACGGGTCAATCTTCTATAATCTTGTAGAGGGACAATAGCGACGTCTGGGACACGCAGAAGAGTGTCCCGGTGAGAGGAGAGTTCCTCCTTTTCTTCTCTCGCGGTGGACGGAGGTGAGACAGGCATCGTGACTACCTGTCAAGGTCCTTAGACTGGCATTACAAACGAGGCTTTAGCGACATCCACCAGGTGCTCCTTGCTAATCGTTTAATTTGTTTTAAAATTCCTTTTTGTGTCTTTTTTAACAAGAGATCGGTGTGCCTGATGTGATACTGCTCCCTTGAATACGAAGGCATCAAGGCGTAGGCGCCGAAATTTCGTTGTAGTATCCCTTCAAGCATGTAATTTAGTTATATGCAGAAGCAACTTCTGAGCCTACTTCATAGACTACTGCAACATAGTGTCTATTAATTTTATGCTTTTCATTCTTTCTGGACCAGCCTGAAAAGCTGCTTGGTGCTGGGGAAGACAAGTTTAGAAATGAGGGCAACATAAAGTCAATGAAACGGGAGCTGGAAAAGGACCCTACAGATGTCTCCCACATTTGCTGCATGGCGGCAGTGGGTAGCAAGAGAGTACCCATCTGTACAGTACGTCCTTTGCCCCTACCCTGCGCTGGAAAGAACAGAAGTAAGCAATCTTTTCTAGCTCGCTGTGCCTTTCAGTGTCCTCATACTTGCTGATATGTACAAGGGCTGGTCAGAACTTGTACTATTACCATGAACTGTGACCTCCCTCTGTGTATCCACCACACAAGGGTATAGATATCCCCACAGATTAATCAGTTGCAAAGCCGCCTGTATACTCTGTGCCGGTCAGAAGCGCGCCTCGAGGAAGTCGTGTTTCCCCTTTTCCCTCACTCATCCCCTTCTCTCCTATCGCCCATGTCAGCAGCGAGACGGCGTCACGCACGTTGGGCATCGGCGGCCGGTCAGCGTCGTTCAGCCGTTCGGCAGCGGTGTATGTGAGCAAAGTCGCCTGTATGCGAGGCCACTGTGTGTGAGGCTGCGTGTTGAGTCAGGTTCTTCCCGTCAAAAAGTTTCGTGGTCACGCCTCGAAAAACTTTTCTCAGTCTGATGCCCGTTCTACGTTTCCTCAGAGGTAAGCCAAAGCCCTCCTATTCCGTCGGTTCCACTCCGTTGCGAGCGCTCCCACGTGTTGATCGCGGCTTTGTCGTAGCACTGCGTCTGTCACGTAAAACGCAGGACGTGTTTTTCACTTGTAGTGCCCTATCGCTGGTATAGTGATTACATGCAACGGCCGATCGCGCAGGTTCAGGCAGTGCACTCGCACCAGACATTGACATGTGCACGGGCATGTTTAAAACATTGAGCTCGCACTTGAAGCTTCTGCTACTCGCATTTAAACTGAACTGGGGTTTGTACGAACAACAGGGAAATCTGCTCGTGTACGGATAATTGCAAGGAAATTATTAGTACACTATTTTTCCTCCGCTTCGTCCGCGTGTGCACTTACGAGCCCTTTCAGGGTGCAAAACATCTGGTACTTCACGTACGCCATTGTAATGTATTAAAACGTACAAACTTCCAGGTAACCCGCATTTCTATCCTTTCAGGACAACATGGCGTACTGCTGTGTTCCCCATTGCTGCTCTGACTCCAAAAAGAAGCTCAAGGGGGTGTCGTTTCACGAAATTCCAGCAGACTTGGAGTTGAGAGAGGCGTGGATCAGAGTCATCCGGTATGATAAATGGACACCCTGTACAACAAGCAACTACAGCAGAGTATGCAGCCAGCACTTCAAAGAAGCAGACTTTCTGGATGGAAAACGGCGGTGCCTAAGGAATGGAGTGGTTCCCTCGGTGTCCCAGCACTACCCCTTGCACCTGCAGCCGAGAAATGAAACGCCAAGAAGCGACGCAAGCATTAGGAAGAGGTCACTCTCCAGCGACGCCCAAAAAGACAGCCTTCCAAGAAAGATGCGAAACCAGACGCGAAATGAAGCTGCACCAACACCAAGCAGCTCTGCTCTACATGAACCAGGGAACAAGTCAACACTCCAAAGTACAGCTGACTTAACTGATCATGGATTAGTGAAGAATACGGGGCCTTTGTGTGCACCGGCACTAGGCAGCCCTACTGCAAGTGAGACAGAGGACAAGTTGGCTCCCCCACATACAGCTGACCTCCCTAGGCAGTGGTCAGCAAGAAATGCAGAGCCTTTATATTCATCAACACAAGGCTGTCCTACTGGAGTCGAGACCGAGGACAAGTCGACTTCACTGGGTACAGCTGACTTACTGAGAATAGATCCCCACCTAACCTTGGAGAGGCAACCATGTCAGAGCATCAAGTCACACAGCCTGAGGTCAACGTGACTGCAGTTACTGAGAAAGCAACACAGGTGGATGACAGGGCGTCAAACAGCTTGTTAATCATGGAAAGGTCAAAATGGAAAAGGAAGGAGCGAGACCTGAAACAACAAATTGAAAGACTGCGAAAGACGGTGGATGGCTACAAAGAAGAGCTGCAAAAGCTTCGGGACGACTGCCATGTTGCAGATCTTGAATACATCAGAGAACGCTGCGATGAAAAGAACCAGACCGCAATGTTTCTCCTTGAACAGATTACAAACTTTAAGCGTAAGAGACCAAGTTGGTCTGAGGACACCATTCGCCATTCTACTGTGCTGAGACACCTGCCCACGAAGCTGTAAGAACATATGAGACACGAAGAACTCCTAAAGCTGCCAAGCAGAAACACTTTGCAGAATTACCTTGGTACTGTGAGCGGGGAGACTGGATTCAACAGCCTGGTTGAAGAACGACTGAAAACGGAGATTGAGCATCTTCCAGCACTTCAGTCGAAGACCTGCTCCATAATTGTTGACAAAATGCGCATCCAACAGAAGCTTCAGTACAACAAGCAACAAGACGCATTCGTCGGTCATACTGACATGGGCCTGGCTGAAGGGGCAGGCACTGAGCCAGTACTTGCAAATTCGTTGCTCTGCTT